GTTGCTAAGTGTCCCTGGCTGGAACGGAACTTGCAATCTTCCTGCCTCAGCTGCTCCTAGTGCTAGGATTACAGGTGTACACTACTCCTGGCTCCACTCTGTTTTTAACAATAGACTGTGGCAAGGCCTCTGCTGGCCACTACCTGTAATGGTATGTAAATAGCTGGAGATGTGTTCACTCAGTCTGTTGTACAAACAGCCCAGGCAGCAGGTCACTATCAGCAAGTGAGGCGCACACACCTCCATGGGCTTTGTGACTCCTTCTTTTAAATATGTACCTGAATTTTGGACTGTCATTTTACCCATCAGGGGAGGAAAGACCACCCCAAATCAGAGTACAATCTCAGAAAGTTTCTCCAGATTGTAGGAGGCTGCTTTGAGCATCCCCACCCCCTCAGGCTTGCTCCCACTGAAGGGTGAAAGCCCTCCTAATCCATATACTAGCTTCCTCTCAAAAGTTTAATTACTACAGTTAATAGTTCATTTTTACATGATAATGCAAGTTCAAGGGGCTGAAATTTTGAAGCTTTAACAATGCACAACTTTCTAGAAAACAAAGAATGGGGTCTCTGCTTCCACTGTGACACAGGGTAAATGCCAGGGGTTAATCACACTAAGGAAGAAGGGGGGCCTCTACTGGCAACCAGAGTACAAATCTTCCTCTTCTGCTAATAAACAAACAAATAAAAATAAATCCTTCAGGCCCTGTTCTTCTCATCTCCCTCTTCCAACTCTCATCTCCTTGTTCCACTTTTAGAGAGTGAAAAGCAGGCCACAACACTCTGGGAAACTGAGGCAGGAAGATCTCAAATTTGAGACCAGCTTGGGAAACTTGGTAAGAATCTGTCTTAAAGTAAAAATCAAGAACAGAAGAACTCAGTAGCTCCGAGTGAAGGACCTGGATTCATTTCTCACTAAGTGAAACCAGAGTAGGAAGTTTGGCAAGAATTCACCAGACGCCTTGGAAATTCCAACAGCTGCTGACATAAAAAAGCAAAGGGCTGTGTAGCAGATGGGTGCTGCCGAAAGGCAAATCAGAGAAGTGGAATATTCCTAGGGGCAATCACAGCGATAAAAGACAAACTCATAGAGGTGGACAAAGAATGAGGGAGGCCAGGAATAGGAACACAACTTAATACTACAGTGGTAAGTGAAATAAGCCAGATGCACACACGGTTAAATATCACACGATTTCTCTTATTAGATAATCAAAATAGAAATAAAAGAGTAAAACGGAGATGGCTGGAAACCAAAAGGCAGGGTGAGGTAATGAGTAAATGGACTGAAAAAAATATAGAGCTAGGCAGGAACTGAACGCCTGTAATCCTAGCACTCTGGAGGCTGAGGCAGGAGGACTGAGGTGAGCTCAAGGCTAACTTAGGCTGTGTTGTGCATTCAAGGACAGCCTGACCCTGATAGTGAGGCCTTGCTGAAAAAAACTGAAAATAAAAACAATTAAGATCAAGGTATATTACACACATGTACCATTCATTCTTGAATATGAACGTAACTAACATGTATTGTTGTCGCAGATAAATTAGAACCACATCAGAAGACACACAGCACAGAGGAATTTTGTAAGGTAAACAGCTTTATTGACGCTAGCAGATTGGTGGGAATCTCAGTTCCGAATCACCAGCCTCGTCCTGCGGTTAAAGTCACTTATGCTGGTTGTTAGAAGGAAACACAAAAAGCAGTAGCAGGATATTTTACGGTTGGTTACACAGTCTCATCATACATTGCTAGGCGCGCTTCTTCTAAGCAAGCTCATTGGGGCTTACTGTCGGACAACAGGAAGAAGAGGGCAAGGTGAGCAGGGGGAATCAGTCCTTGTCTAAGACCGAGCCAGGTCTGTCTCTAGGTGACACATTTTTAAAACAAGCTAACAAGATGCACCATCCAGCTGGGTTACGTTTGTCTTACAAGATGCAGCTGGTGTTGAAATGCCCAGGCTAGCTGAGCTTTGTTATTTTCTAATTATGAGAACTGACCTGTTTTGG